TTAATTAAGGTTGCTGGGGTTTTGCTTGCTTTGCTATGTTTACATTTCCAGTAATGAAGGTTGCGATGAAGAAGAAGGAGGAGGTGGATAAAAAGGAGCTTGTGATGAAAAAGATTGCATGGATCTATTTCTTTTTTTTTTTAGATTTTTAAAATATGGCATATGGCTACCAGCACTACACATAATAGTCAAATAATGGTTAATATAGTCAAACATTGATGACAAGACAAAATTATATTAAATTGAAAAATGTTCAGATGACATTATTACATAATCAAAAAAAAGCCTAAGGGATATGGTGTGCCAATTGCACACTCACCCACACAGATTTCATGTTCCATATGACAACAATCCTATGAACAACTCTATGCCACGTGTTCACACATGATTAGTCAGGGGACCTTGTAGTGAAGCTGAAGCAATTTCCTACTTAATCCTTCTTATGCTTTCATTCTCATTCATGTTTTGGTACTTTCTTTGCTTTCTTCCACTCTATTATTGTTCCTATCACTTTCAATTTCTTCTTCCATCATTTTCATCTCTCTCATATCTGAGCTCGATTTCCTCATCATTTAGCCATGACTAAAAAGGTACATATAATTCCATTTGATCTCCTTCCTAAATCCTTATTTTGATGATCTCTTCTATTTAATCATACAAGTGAATGGTATCAATCATATCGATACTGATTTTATTCCTTACTATTGGTAATTATATGTTTAGGTGACAATAATGAAGCTCAAGGTTGATCTCTAGTATGTGAAATGCTACAAGAAGGTTAAGAATGTTCTCTGTAAATTCCCACATAAGTTTCTCTCAATGTTCACAGCTCTCTCTTCCCCCCTCTCCCCCTTCCTTCATTAGGTAAACTTTCCTTTCTTCACTTTCTCCTTCATTATGAAAAATCTAGATATTTGGGACAATGAGAGCTTTGATTTTGGTTCCCTTGGGTTTAGATCGAACCCATTAGTCTATTTAAGATTTTTGGGAGTTAAATCAAGCTTCTAATCTTAAGTTTATGAGTTTTATGGTGATTGAAAATTTTTGTTGAGGGTTCAGGTGAACCCTAGGTATAATTTAAAGATTTTAAGACAATGTAGGATATTGGTTAGTGATTTTGGTGTATTAAGATGTTTAATAGGATGGTTAGAGAGTTTGAGAATGGTTGATGTTATTAGAAAAGGAATTTTCATATTTTAGACACTTTAAACCTAGTGAATTCAGAGTTATCCAGAGTGACAATTGATAATTGTCACTTGATTGTGTAGATTGAGTGTTGCTCAAGCTATATCGTGCGTATAAAATGTGCGGAGCCAATATTGAGCCCCAATAACCCTTTTGTGTGACAAAGGGTTGATGTAATTATATAATTTATTATGTTTATTAACTATTATAATTGTGTAAAAGTAAATACAAAATGATAAATTTGTGGTTTAAGAATTTTGTACATAATTTGATATTGAAAAATGATTTTAGCATGAATATTAGTTTGTGAAATGGATTTTTAAAAAGTCATTGATTTCAATGGATATGTATATATATCTATATATGATATGAAAGTAAATATTGTGAAAATGTGGATAAGCAGTGATAAGTGTGAAAAGGCATGATCAAAGGGGATGAGAGTTCACCCGAGATATGTGAGGATGTGTGTGTGTGAAGATATGTGAGTGTAAAATTTATATGGTCGAGCTGGCATCATGGGACATCTGGTGTAGCATGATATGAGACTGTTATCATAGGACATTCAGGCAATCTGGTAACTCCCTAATATCCGTTAATAGGAGTCAATAATGTCTCTATCACAAGTGTGTAAAGAGAAAAAAATCATAGCCCATAGGTGAGTTAGATTACCTTTAGTCGGGTGTTTCTACCATTGAAAGTGTGCTTGGGTCAATAAGTCATTGATCCAGGAGAGCCTATAGCTTCATGTTGGGGAGCATTAGAGGTTTGATGGTTAGATGATCATGTTCGTGTGTAATTGTGTGGAAATGTTTGAAAAGATGAATTTACCTCATATTCTAATATACGTGATATTACCTTAGTTTTAATACTTTATTATGGTTATTTATAGTAATAAGCATTTGATGAACTATATTAGTTACTGAGATATTTATCTCACCCCGTGGTTATATTTTACAGGTGAGGGCTCCAGTAAAGGCAAAGGGAAGGAAGGGGCAATTGAAGAGTGAAGAGCATTGTAGTATAGCTCTTCCCCTTTCTCTTTTAGGTTTGTAATGAATATTGTTATTATATAGTACTAACTTAGGAACATGACATTATTTTGGTTATCACTTGTATGAATTTATGATAAGTGTACATATCTTGGTTGTTGTGGATTAAATGTGTGTGTGCTTGGCCAAGTTAAGTTAATCAAGTTTGAGATTAGGATATGTTATTGAACAACATGAATTTGCATGATCATGGATAAGTGAGAATTTACCTCTAGTGAGAAGGGTGTTATAGAAATTCACATGATGTGATCTCTACTAGCATAGTGGTTAGTAATATTATTTAATTAAAAAGTGATTAACACTGCCATTGTCTAAAAGGAGATAGTATGGGGCAAGCACGATGCTCAATATCACTAGTTTCCTATAAGGGACGATGTGGGATGAGTAATCAAGACACCCTGGTAATTTGAGAAAAGAGGATCCATGATTTGAGAGTGAGTATAGAAACCTTTGGCTAGATGATCTCTCACAAGTAGAGATTGAGACTAATTCAGTCATGCATGTTAGTCTTACATGTTTTGGTAGTACATAGATCTAATTAGAAGATATAAGGAGTTGAAAGAAGTGTTGGAGTTAGTAAACTTGAAAGCTAGATTAGATTTAGATTATTTGAACTTGTAGATAGCTTTTGTAGTAATGATTATGTATATTGTTATTGAGAAATAATGTTGGATTTTAAAATTAATTCGATGTATACGAGCTTTGAGAATTCTATTTCACACTGATTTGTTGCTGGAATTTATTTTTGTATTATATAGTGTAAGGGCTGTTGGAAATATAGCCCCATTCAAAAAAAAAAAAAACATAAGACTCAAATGTATAGTACTTATGTAGAAATAACAGTGATATAGTCGAAACTATATAGCAATTATCTTGAATCACTGTTATATAATTTAATCTATATAGCATTTATTTTCAAATAATTGGTATAAGTTTAGTCTTCAAGTTAAACTATATAGCATTTTTTTTTAAGTGCCCACTATATATACCTCTAATATATATATATATATATATAACAGTTTAAAAATGTTATATGTTTGTTCTTGTAATATGTAGTACAAAAATATATAATTTGTGTCTTTTTTTAAAATAATCTTTTGATTTTTTTTGTAATTTTAAAGAATCAAAATTAACTTTCATTAATAATAGAAATGACATTGCATTATTTTTAAAATTTAAAAAAATATTGTACTAAAAATTAGTTTTGGGTCCCAGGCAAGTGCTTGAGACCTTGTGGGTCTGTTATGAATGGGCCTAATGGATAATGGGCTCAATGCTTTGTTCAATTGGGCTTGAGAAGGTGGAAAATGAGGGCATGAATGTAATTGATAAAAGGCTAAAAGCAAAGCATTGAGCAGACCATCAACGATTTTGCTAAAGCTTGTTCCCTTTGAGTAGGGGTGAGCATTCAGTCGATTTGGTTTTAATTTCTCTAAAACCAATAGACCGAATTAAATAAAAAATTTAGATCGAATCAAATCAAAATGCATAATCGAATCGAATTTTAATGATTCGGTTCGATTGGTCTATTCAATTTATGGGCTTCGATTTGGGTCAATGAAATTTAATTGTTCATATATTCTTCTATTCAATTTTTTTCCCTTGATGTTGAAGGCCCAACAAAAAAATAACAATCTTATACCATAATTTATAAGAAAATTAATAAGACTCAGTATTATTGCACTAAAAACTAAATTATAGAAATAAAAATTAGCACATCACATTAAACCAAAAAAATATTATTACTTTAAGTAGTAGAAAGATGTTTTTTACTAAAAAAAATATTATTACTGCAAGTAGTAAAAAGATATTTCTTACTCACCTAGATGAAAATTTATTCACATTTTCAAAAATATGAGAGGAAAAATATGGATAATTCGGTCAGTTTGATTTATTTGATTCTTGAATTCTTAGATCGAATCGAACCGATCAATCAAAATTTTTATTAAAAGAAAATTGAATCGAACTGAAAAACCAAATAGACTGAATCAAATAGACAAAATTAGATTCGATTCAGTTTGATTTTTGATTTCAATTGGGTTTTGCTCACCCCTACCTTTGAATCTCCTTTCCTTCTGCCTGAATATTCTGCTCTACTTATCAGCATCTTTCTATTATTTGTTGTTGCTGCTTTAATTTGGTTGCAATTGGCTTAACTGAATATACCTTTGATCTAAGCTTTACGAATTGATGAATATTTTAAGTTGAATATCAGTTTCCTCCATTATATTATGTAATTCTTGCTTAAGAATTGGTGATCATAACAGGGTCAATCGTGAATTAATGCTTTTAGAAAGTTCATTACCTTTCCAATATATATATATATATATATATAGTGGACAAATCAATAAGCATCACCGTGCTACTATGCATATTTCTTTTCCCACCAAAGTGGTTCCCTTATTGCACGATATTAATATAACATGTGAAACTTTTGAAAATTATATACAAAAGCAATTACATCACAATCAAATTTTGTTTCATTTAGTAGTCTCATATCAAACCTTATCACAAGCAATAGTAATAATTCATTTTAATTGAGATAAAGTGACCCTTGATAATTCTTTTCCTTTTTTGTTTCAATTCATCAATTTTTTATAAAATTTTATATATATATATATATATATATAACCATCGATTATAAGAATACAAATGGACAATTTATCATTAATTATATTCTTCGTATCTTTTTTTTTTCATTGTCAATATTCTTCATATCTTTTATCTCCTTGTACAAACTGCATGCACATGCAAATGAAATCACCTCAAAATGCTTTATTTATTCAGAAAAATATAAAACATATATAAACAACTTTAATTAACCCTATTTTTGTGACCCGCATTTTCCCTCTCATATATGAACCACTGTTAACAATTATTTTTATTATTACAAAAGCAAATAACATAAATTTGATTAGACTCATACGAGGATCCATACAAGAACTCATAAATTTGATTAAACAAAGAAAACACACGCATATGTAACTCTATATAGCAATATATCATGACTCATTATTCTCCATGCAAGGCCACATCAATAATGAGCCTGTAGCTCACATTATTGTGCACCCTGTGACGTTATCTTCGTTGACGTATTGACCACAACGGCTCGCGTAGCAAGGTTGTTCGCCACCATAGCTATCATAAACAGGTCTAGCATAAAAATACCCTCCATAACATGGTGGAAGCCTACAATAATCCTCAAAGCATGGCCCACCAGGCCGGCCTTCATTGCATGAAGCACAACACGTTTTACCTGTTACCGGTGGTACCGACTTGGCCGGACCATAACACTGAAAGCATGGCCCACATCGTCGGCCTTCATGGCACGGAACACAACACGTTCTATGTGGAATCAGTGACTCGGGCTTAAAGCATGGCCCATCATGCTGGCCTTCATTGCACGGAACACAACACGTTCTACTTGAAGGCGGCGGCGGCGGCGGCGTGGTTGGCTTCTGCGGCGGTGTGGTTGGCTTTTCCTTCGGCTGCTCGGGCTGCGGTGTGGTTGTCTTTTTCTTCGGCTGCTCCGGCTGCGGTTTGGTTGGCTTTTGCGGTTCGACAATTTCGATGCTCTTGATGGCGCCACATCCTTTACAGCAAAGCTGATCCCTAATCTTCTCTGGGTTACAGCACACCACTTTAATCGTCACAATGTTCTGCTTCTCATCGAAAACCTGGTCTTGAATTTCTCTTGTTCACAAAAATCCAAAACCACACAAATCCACAAGATGAACTCAATTTTGTGATTCCGAAGAATAATGCGCATGGGAATTTCCTCACAATATCACACCGAATTTCAAATGTGAATGAAGAAAAAGAAGAGAGAGAGAGAGAGAGAGAGAGAGAGAGCTTGGAGCATGGAGAGAACTTACGAGGGAATTTACACAGAACCTTCTTGACCTTCTTGTAGCATTTCTCACACTGGAGATCAACCTTGAGCCTCATTTTTGTCTCCTAAACATATAGTTACCAAAAGGAAGGAACAGAATCAGGATCTATCTGACCGACATGATTCACATGGATGATTAAACGGAAGGTATCATAATGAGGGATTTAGAAAAGGAGATCAAAAGGAGGTGTACCTTTTCAGCCATGGCTGAAAGATGAAGAGATAGATCGAGCACAAATCTGAGAGATAAAAATGATAAAAGAAGAAATTGAAAGTAAAAATAACAGTGATGGAATTGAAGAAAGCAGAGAAAGTAATGAAACAGACGGGAATGAGACAGAAAGCAAAGGAAGGATTAAGTAGGCAATTGCTTATGCTTCACTACAAGGCCCCCAACCAATCATGTGCGAACACGTGGCACAGGGCTGTTGAATTTGATGCTCTTGTTAGGATTGTCGTTATGTGAAAGGTGATATCCGTGTGGATGAGTGTGCTCGGGCAAATGGGTCACGGGCCAACCCGTGGGCTAACTTACATGGGCTGGTGTAATGTCTGTCTTGATATTATCAAAATAACACTCACACATTAATGTGATAATCCGAATTAAATAAAATCCTCAAAGGAAGTTACTACAATTCAAGAGTTTAAAGATAATTAGTTAAAACATTAGGATCCCAATAAAACTTTTTTTAAAAAATATTATTTGAGCTCAAACCATGGTTAAAAATCGATTAAAAATAAATACGGAAGTATGGGAAACAAACTACAACAAAATCTGACTTAAATGCGATTTATCAGCAAATACTAGTTCGTCTGCTGCGGCTCAAGCGACGCTCGCTGCGGTGGATGGCACAGAGGGACAAGTCTCTTGATAGCCCAATGCGCCGCAGCACAACAACCCTGCGCCGTGGTGCGTACCAACTGTCATGATAGCAGATTGCTGTCATGGCATCTCTCCAAACTTCCAGAGCATGCCATTTCGCCATCCGACATCTGATTTGAGCGGTTCAAATGTTCACATGAAGCTCTTTCAGCCCTCTAGCTAATGGCACTGGTCTTACACTCAAACAATCATCCGTTTAAAAGATGAACACCTGAACCCAAAATAATCCATTTTCATAACAAAACACATACTATGGTGTCCAACTCACAATACACAATGCCATTGGCCCCGAAGATAACTTGACCACCTCAAATGGACCATACATCACATAACAATCCATTCACATCACACAATTAAGCAATCACACTCAAAATGACCACCAAACCCCCATTGGACAAAAACATAATAAGGTGGACAAAATTCAACACATCAATCAATTGGTCATTTTGACACTCAAAACACTTCATATATATATATATATATATATAAATCACTTGTAAGCAACTTGGCCAAGCACACAATTAATCCATTTCATCATTCTTGGGTCAAGATATACATACTTATCACTATTTCATATAAGTGATATCCAAATAATGTCATGTTCCTAAGTTGGCAATAATTATCGACAATATTCATTACAACACACAAAAAGAGAAAAGGGAAGAGCTATATAATGATGCTCTTTACTCTTCAAATGCCCTTTCCTTCCCCTTGCCCATACCGGAGCCTTCACTTATAAAATATAACCATAGGGTAAGATAAACATCTCAGTAATCAATATAGCTTATTAAATGTTTATTATCACAAATAACCATGAAAAAGTATCAAAACTATAGTATTATCAAGCATACCAAGAATTATGAGATATATGTATTTCTTCTCAACAAAACACATAGTTTTACACTAGCATGATTATTTAACCACTGAACCTCCAATGCACCTTGAGTGAAACCGTAGGCTCTCTTGGTTCAACCACTTGTTGACCCGGGCACACTTTCGGTGGTAGAAATATCTGGCTAAAGGTAATTTAACCCGCCTATGAACTATGATTTTTTCCTCTTCACACACTTGTGATAGAGGTATCGTTGACTCCTAACTGCACCCTAATGGATACTAGGGAGTTGTTAGACTGCCTAGATGTCCTATGGCAACAGTCCCATATAATGCTGCACCGGATGTCCCATGGTGTCAGCTCGATCATATGAATTTTTCACTCACATATCTCCATACATATATATTCTCACATATCTCGAGTAAACTCCCACCCCCTATGATCATGCTCTTTCACAATTTTCACTACTTTTCATCACATTTTCATATCACACTTATATACATAGTATATATATATATATTTCAATTAGAAACAATAACCATTTACAAAACACTTTTCCATACTAAAATTATTTACAATGTCAAATTATGCATAAAAATCTTCAAAACCACAATTTTGTCATTTAAAATTACTTCTACACAGTTACAATAGCTAATAAATACAATAAATTATATGGTTACCTCAACCCCTTTTGTCACAACAAAAGGGTTACCATGATTCAACGTTAGCTCCACACATTCTATACGTATAATATAGCTCGAGCAACCCTCAATCTGCACTAATAGGTGACAATCATCAATTATCACTCTAGATAACTCCGAATTCACTAAGTTCTAAGTGCTTAAACTACTCGAATTTCTTTTCTAACAATACCAACCATTCCCACACACTTTAACCATCCTGTTAAACATTCCAACACACCAAATTAGCTAATCAATGTCCCACATTGTCTCAAAATTCTCAAATTATACTTAGGGTTCATTCAAACTATTACCAAAAATTCTCAATCACCACAAAACTCATAAACCTAAGGTTAGAAGCTTGATTTAACTCCCCAAGATCTTAAATAAACTAATGGGTTTGGTCTAACCTAAGGGAACCGAAATCAAAGCCCCCATTACCTTAAATGTTCATATTTTCACATAAAAGAGGGAGAAGAGGAAATGTAAAACTTACCCAATGGTGATTTAAGCTCTAAATGTCCTTAAAGTAGTCTAGGAATCGTGCCCTAGCAGATCACAAGCTCTCCTCTGTCTCTCTCTCGTTTTCTCTCTTTATCTCTTTCATTTTCGATCTTTTTTTCACGTCTGATAATTGCAGATTTTGCACTTGCACTGCGATGCACTGACTCGCCCGTAGCAGCGCATGGCACAGAAAGCCCCACAAAATTTTAAACTCCCTTCCGTGCTATGGCCCGCTTGAACCTCGACCTAGCCCTATTCTAAAGCTATCCAAGGATCTAAAAACCATATTAGTCTCTATAAACCTCGTTAAATAATAATTTATCTAAATTGACCAAATTATCCCTTAAAAACATTGATAATTACTAATGAGGAAACTTAGGATGTTATAGCTGGCATTTTTGTAGGTTGGGTTGGGTCAGCCCACCAAATAAAACAAGCTAGAAAATCCAGCCCAATCTATTTTTTAGTGGGCTAGCCAACCTGCGAGCTGACCCACAAAAAATTATCAAAATTTTTTAATAATTTAAAATTTATATAATATAAATATATTTATTTATTTCATATTTTAAAGAAAATTAGAAATTAAAGAACTTATAAATAAATAAAATAAACATAGAATTCAACCAAGAAAATTCACTTTGATAGATTTTTACTATCAATCATCTTCTCGACTAGGGGTGTTATATTTGTCATTGAGAAAAAAATTTGAATATAAATCCATATTATTTTTCTCAGTGAATTCATATTTATAATTTCAATCAATAGATTCTATGAGATTAATAAATAACATATATTCAAAATATTTCTATAAAAACTAATAAATCATCTTCACAAACTATATCAAAAATTTTATTTGCAAATTGTAAAAAGAATTTACACTATATTTCAAATGTAAAGAACATATTTGAGAGTCATAAATTATATATTTAAAAATATTATCATTATTGTAAATTTATAAAAAGATATAATGTAATTAAAAAAATTATTTTTTTTAAATATGCTAGCCCTCAGGCCAACCCATTTAGCCCTCGGGTTAGCCCGTTTTAACCCGCTAATTTTGCGAGTTGGACTAACCTAGCCCATTTTAAAAAATGAGCTAATTTTTTCAACTCAACTCGTCAAATTGTGTGGGTTAAATGGGCTAGCCTGCGGGCTCAACCCATTTTCCTAGTTCTACTTGCCACCTTTTGCACCAGTGAGATTTGAAATTCAGCGAACTCCACATTCTCATGTGTACTGTTTAATAATGCTTAGAAGTTCCGAAACATCATTAATTCCATCATTAGTCAATCAAACAATTTAGCTAACTCGTTATAATTTGGGATATAATATATACCCTGCAATATCTATAAATTGTTTATGGATTGAGGTAAATTATGAAGTTTTCACAGAAGCGTACTTTATATCTTTAAGTTTTTTGGATACAATGTTATCCCATTTTTTTCAATTTGATACAATTTTACCTGTCATTTGACTATTATATGTAGTGTTGGCGGCCATGTGATTTATTTTTTTAAAAAACCAAAGAAACAGATCCACACAACATTCTTCATTGCATCCTTGTCCTCCTCCACCTCTTTTTTCTTCTCTATCGCAACCTTCATTCTTAGAAACGAAAACCCAGCAAAGCAAGCAAAACTTGGCAACCTTCAATTGCTATTGTAGCAAACAATAAATCTTCGTGCCATGGAACTTGAAAATATTATGTCATTATTTAGAGAACAATCTTGCAAATAAGAATGCAAATCGACCTAGAAATGAAAAGGCCATTGAATAAGAAAAAATCAGAATGCAAATCAAGTTTCGCTTTAGAGTAAGGAAAAATATGAATTCAAATCGAATAAGAAATAAGCCACACAAAACTGACATCTAGAACACAACCTATAAGTCCAATTGAGAATATAAGTAGGCAAAAATAGGTCAAGCAAAAATAAGAATGAAACTTCATATGCATATTCCTCTCACTCTTCCTCACTACTAAAAAAAGACTATGTATAGTGCCTTCTATATAATATTTATTGAAAAAAACCACTTCATAGTTGAAGTGAGATTCAGGAAAAAAGAATTATATAGTGCTTATTCAAAATATATGTTATATAGCCTCTGTTTTTTTTTATTTTTTTAAAGACTATATAATAGTTCTTTCTAAATAATTATTATATAGTTTTGAAACTATATGATAGTTATTTCAAAGAACTGCTATATAGTCTCTCTTTATTTTTTTAAATTTTTTTCCTAAAGACTATATAGTGGTTATTTAGAAAGAATTACTATATAGAATTTTGAATCGAAAAACTTTTAAAACACACACATTTTATATAACATACAAACTAATGATGTCATTATTTCTAAACCATTAATTTTTTTTAATCCAATAGCACACATACTCTTTTTCTTTCTCATTGTCATTTCACACATTCAAATCCATCCA